GCACCCCATGACAGCCCTTAGACCCCTACAACCCCCACTGCAGCCCTATAACCTCCACTGCAGTCCTATAACCCCCAATGCAGCCCTATTCTACCCCAAAGCACCCCATGACAGCCCTTGTACCCCTATAACCCCCACTGCAGCCCTATAACCCTGTTGCAGCCCTATTACCCCCACTGAAACCCTATGATGCCCTTTGTACCCCTATAAGCCCCATTGCAGCCCTATAAAACCCACAGCAGCCCTATAAATCCCACTGCAATCCTTTGACCCCCATTGCACCCTACAACCCTATTTCATCCCCATAACCCCTATTGTTCTAACTCTCCTTACACCCCTATGGACATCATTGAAACCCTATGAACCTCTTTGTAACCCCTATAACCCCCATCACAACCCCATAACCCCCACTGTACCCCTATTGGCACCACTGCACCCCCAAAGCACCCCATGACATTCCTTGTACCACTAAAACCTCCATTGCAGCCCTATAACACCCACTGCAGCCCTATAACCCTGTTGCAGCCCTACTGCACCCTCAAAGCACACCATGACATCCCTTGTACCCCTATAACCCCATTGCAGCCCTATAACCCCCACTGCAGCCCTATAACCCCCACTGCAGCCCTATAAATCCCACTGCAGCCCTTTGACCCTTGTTGCACCCCATGACCCCATTGCACCCCCCCTCTAACTCCCCTTATACCCCATAGGCATCATTGAAACCCTATGAATCTCTTTGTAACCCCTATAACCCCCATCACAGCCCCATAACCCTCACTGCACCCCTGCACCCTATAAATCCCATTGCCCTATATCTACCCCTGGGGTGGGAGTGGGGTCCCAGAAAGTGCATGAGGGGGGTGGCCATATGGGGTTGGGGGAATGGGGGTGGTTCAGTGGGGAAAGGGGTTCCATGTGTGGAAGATCCCATGGCTGTGGGGGTCCTATGGGGTGAGGGGTCCCAGGATGGGTGTCCTATGGGGTGAGGGTGCCCCAGGGGTAGGAGGGGCCTCATGGATAAGGGGATCCTATGGGGTGAGGGTTATGTGGGTAGGGGGTTCCTATGAGTGGGGTGGGGGTTCAGTGGGGTAAGGGGTTTCATGTGTGGAAGATCCCAAGGGTGTGGGGTTTCTATGGGGTGAGGGATCCCAGGATGGGGG